AGGGTGGTGAGACACTGTCCCAGGTTGCCCAGGGAGGCTGTGGCTGCCCCAACCCTGGCAGTGTTCACAGCCAGGTTGGATGAGCCTTGAGCAACCTGCTCTGGTGGGAGGTGTCCCTGCCCAGGGCAGGGGTTGGGGCTGGGTGAGCTCTAAACTCCATTCCAGCCCCTAAAATTCCATGATTCTATGACTTACACCACTGATGGATAGCACAAGGAAACAAGAATAGGATTCAGAAGGCAAAAGATTTATCAGTAGGAGAGGGAGAAGTGCTGAGTCTTTCCTTATTCCTTTTTTTTTAAAGAATGCGAATTCAAGAAGCTTTAATTTTTGCTAAGTTATCTTGTATCTAAATCCTGATTTCTTTCACTGGTTTAGCAGAAAATCAGGATGCATTCTGTGCTGCATGCAGCTGGTTCTGAGCAGTGGGTCAGCAGTTGTGACCCATAAAGCACAGTCGGTGCAGCTGGGCTGTGCTCTGCCCTCTGTGTGGCATTGTGCAGCACTGGCACGAATACAGTGTTGAGCTGCTAGGAGTGATAGTGGTAGAGTTAAGGGATCCAGAAGGTCCTGGGTCTGATTAGTAAGACCTTCAGGAAAATGTATTGACTTGTCTTCTGTGACATGAAGTTTGACACTTCTGGCAGTAAAGAAGGTTTCTATCAGCAAAAGATGATGAGCAGCTGTTCTACCAAATACAGTGACAGAGTAACGAGACTGACATTTCTTGCTGTGTGACTGTTGCTTGTGGCAACTACAGCTTATCCTGAGGGTTGGTAGGTGTTCTGTTTTGTCTCTAGAACCAGAACAGAGGAATTGTGGGAGTGCTTTTCCCCTGTTTGTGTGCATGGAAATCTGTTATGGTCATTGGGTGTTTGACTTTTAACATCGATCCTGCCATAGAATTTCAGCAGTGCATTATTGTGCCTTTGGAATATTAAGTCCATGCAAATTGTCTTTAGTTTGAAAATTGTTGTCTCACTCACTTAAAACTGCTGCCTTGGGGTGCCATCTCATGTTCTCCTGCAGTCAGAGAGCAGCTCTGGCCCCTGCTGCAGTGCCTTGTTTGCATTCCACAGCTGGTTTGGGTTTCTCTTCCTTCTCTTAGCAAGTTCCAAAGTGCAAAACTTAGAACAGTTTGGCTTATTGTGTCAGTTTGCATTTGAGGGAACACTTCTTTAGAGCATGACTTACTCTAAATTCAGATCCTGTGTACTCTTGCTTTCCAGGTCGGGGAGTGTTAAAGATGGTTCTGTGGTGGCTTGTGCGTTTCCTCCCAGTGGAAATTTCTTCGTCACTGGATCCTCGTGTGGTGATTTAACCGTTTGGGATGACAACCTGAGATGCCTGTCTAATGAGAAGGCACATGATCTTGGTGTTACCTGCTGTGATATTTCTTCCCATCCAATATCTGGTTAGTTACTTAACTCATTAGAGGAGGAACATTTTAAAAAGTGTTATTTTATTTCTCTGTAGCTCTTGTTTTCATACTTTTGTCATCAGTGTTCAAGATACAAGTGAGCTTGGGAAGAGCCAATGTTTTAGAACATTCTGAATGCTCTTCAGTAGGAGTTGTGGTCAGGCTGGTGGCAAGCAGTGTTCTGGGTCATCAAACAAGGTGGTAATTTTAGTAGCTAGTTACCCCCTCGGGGCTGTGGGAGGTGTTTGGGCAGTGTGTGTAAGTGAAGCCAATCTCCTGGGGCAGACAAGGGTGTTGGAAGGTGCAGTGCCTGAGTACCATTCCCACTTTACTCCCTCGTGCTTTGGTTCCCCAAGGAGCAGGGCTGGATTAAAACCATGCAGAGACCTCTAAACCTAATGAGCTGAAGGCTGAGCTGTGGATGTGAACAGGTAGGCTGTGTTCCTGCCTTTCTCACTTGCAGGGGTTTGGGGGAGCAACGAGCCCAGAATCTCCTGTGTCTCACTGAGATATTCAGAAGTCTCAGGGCTGTTTTAGCGTTTGAACACATCGTTACCTGCTCTTAGTGGAGGTTAGGAAATGGGGCAGAAGCCTCCTTGTCACTTTATGAACTCATTTTAGCAACCCTGTGTGTACACCTTTGTGCTTTCCAGTCTACCATGGGGACAGATGGTCTCCAGCCAGACATGTGGGCTTCTGTTTTCAGAGTTCACACGAGCTGCCCTTTCACAGGCACCAAGAGGGTTAACTGCAGCCCCTTGCACCTTTCAGTGCCACACAGCAGGAGAAGCAGCAGGGCATAAAGCAGGAGGGAGCTGAGGAGGTGGGATCTGAGCACACACTTCGGTACAGAGAGTTAGTGACTGACAATACTGACTCAAATATGTGTCCCTTGAAAGGTGTAGGATCTTTCTTGGTGAAAACACCACACAAAAACCTCCAGCTGAACTAAGAGTTGCATCTGAGGGCAAAGAAACTGGCTGCAGCTGAACAGATCAGAGTGTAACATGGTGCAGCTGGAACAGATTAGAGTGTAATTTCCGCAGCTCCATGTCAGACTGAGATTATTCTCTTGGTTTAAAAATTACATGACCGACCCTTCAGCCTTCTGCCAAGTGAGGGAGGAACAGGCAACACAGCAGGTACTTCCTGTGCTTTGTTTTGTCAGCTGATTTATGATCATTCTCGAGTTTTTAAAATCCATGTTATTGAAAGTCAACACGTTTCCTTGTGTGTTTAATCTCCAAGGGTTGAAACTTCTGGGATGGTTGGCAGATTCAGCACATCACAGAATGTATGCAAGGTTTGCAGTTAGAGACAGTTTTAGATTGAGACTCTCTTTACCTACTAAATTCAGAGCAAGTTGCAAGTTGAACGTGTAAGATGACAACAGTTCCCTGCCAGATACTCTCAGGTTCAGTGCATATGTGTGTGGTTAGGTTTGAGAACACTGAACTGTAGGAAAACATGGATGTAACCATAGGATTTAGGTTAAAGGGCTATGTTGGTGCTTTTGGTAGTTAGAGGAGTCAAACACCATCAAGAAAACCTAAAATACGAGCACAGCTCTGACCTTTATCTGCTTGTTCAGGAAACTGTCAGTGACACCTGTTTCTCACTCCTGAATGGCTTTAGAACTTTGGCAGTGATTTTGGTGCTGATGCTGTTTACTGATGTGCTGTTATTTTCAGTGCTTCTGATTCCCATTCATGTACTTTAATTTTGCCAGAGAGTGAAGATGGATTCACACACTTCCAGATGGCTTCTTGTGGGCAAGACAGTCAGATCAAACTCTGGCTTATCTTGTTTGCAGACTCCTCAGGTGTGTATAGCAGTGGCTCTCATGTTGCAATGTCTCGAGTTTAAATCAAAACTTAGATTCATGGACAAACTAACCATGAGGTGAAAGTTCCAGATTTATACTGGTGGATTCACGGACAAACTAACCATGAGGTGAAAGTTCTCTCTGAATTGCTAGCAGGAGAGCAGCTAAGGCTTTCAGCACTTCGTGACACTGCACCATGTGCATTTAGTGATCAGTAAAAGTAAAGATCTAACAAGAATTCTACCGTGGCCTTTGAATAGGTTGATAGGTCAAAACCTCTTAATCTGCCAGGTCAGGGAGAGGTTTGATTTCATGTTTTCATGTTGAGCAAGAGCTGGAGAAATGAAAACAGTGTTGGCTCCTGCTAAAACTGCAGTGTGGAGACTTTCACTAAAAAGATCTTCAGTGGGTGCTTCTTCATAATCTCTTCTGTATAAAAGTCTGTAGGATGGATATTGTGTGTACAGATACACACTTAATTCTCTAAAACACTGTGAGATGTGCTGAGACTACAAAGTGAGGAATTCTCTAAAACACTGGGAGATGTGCTGAGACTACAAAGTGAGGAAGTTGGAGATGTTAAACTTGTCTCTGTGACCTTCTATGCCCTTTATTTTAGACAGTGTGTCACAGAGTCACATCTTTTGTGGAGCTCTGTGCTTCCAAAGCAGCGGGTGCTGTCCCTGGGGAGGTGTGTCCCTGTGCAGTAATGTACTCTCTGTGCCTGCAGGTGTGGAGCTGCAGTACAGATGTGTGCTGAGTGGGCACTGTGCCCCAGTGCTGGCCTGTGCCTTTTCCCCTGATGGGCAGATGTTGGTCTCGGGGTAAGCAGTGTCTGGGTTGGGCTCTGTGCACGTGGCTGGTCAGGCTCACACCTCAGTCCTGTGAGGCAGAGCCTCCACTGGGCTGGGACTGCTGAATTCAGGAACAGTTCTGTGATCTCCAGAGCTATTGAAGTGTCTTCACAATTGCTTTGTGTCTTGTGAGTGACTGAGTTTGCAATCTGGGGTGCTACAAGCTCTGTTCTCTTGAGTATTGTCATGAGATTCATGATCTGCTGGTTTTGGGGCATTTATGTGGCCTTTGATGTGGATACTCACTCCAGCACCTATTGATAGCACAAATCTACCTTACAGTCTTAGCATCTCTCTGGGACACTGTTCAAGAGTTCCTTCTCACACCTTTCAGGAGCTTTTCAGAACTTTAAATACCTTGAGATTTTTTCTCTGATGGGCTTGGTTGAACCCAGAGTGTGGCCACATAAGCCTTTTCTCTGTGCAAAGTGCACAGTGGAAATGACTGTAGAGCTGTTTTGGTGTCAGCCCTGTGCAAAATAAGGGTGATCCTGAGCCATCAGTTAGAGACTGATCCTGTCATTAGTCAGTGTTAGAGGGTGATCAGGGAGTTGCCAGAGTGGTTGGAAGGTCACTCTGTTCTGTGTGAAAGACCCAGGAGGGTGAGGGTGACTGGGTTTGAGAGTGTTAGTGGCTGGGTGCTGCTACTCTGCTCTTCTCGTGAGAAGTTTTCAACTTTTCAACTAAGTGGCAGCTTGAAGCAGCAAATAAAATGGTTCCACTCTGAATTTTAGTTGTCTTTTTTACAAAGACTTTCTAAACTCAGATGGATGTCTTGCAAAGGAAAAAGAAAAGACTAGAACTGCCAGCAAGTAAACATGAAGCTATGCAAAGTCCAGAAGACAGCAGCTTGCTCTGATATTTTGCTGTGTTCATTTTGAGGGAGCCTTTTCCAGTATTTGAAGCTGATTATGAATGTTTGTGATCTGGAGCTATTTGATTTTCCCATTAGGCTTAGGGATGATTGGTTTTGCTTACAGTGTCTTAAGTGAAATGTCTCTCCCATAAAACATTCCAGGAAACCCTGCTCTCATGGTGGGTAACTGCAGTTGTGTTTCATGAAATATGTATGTCTCGAGTGCATTGCACTGCTGTGTTTTCTGCGTGGCACTGCCCTGCTGCCTCCAGCTGGCTGTGCAGAGAAAAGGGCCCAGGAACCAAGAAGGGCTGAGAGCAGAGCTTGGGCAGCCTCTGCCTGCAGACACAGAGCAGGTGTGGCAGGGACAGTGGGGCCAGTTTGCATAGGCACCAGGAATTCTCTTGGAAGTGCAGCGTTTTGGTGTTTGCTGTTGTGTGCACCGTGCTGGGGGCACAGCCTGGCAGGGCACAGGGGGAGGGCAGCTGCTAGCTGAGCTTCCCAGAAAGTCATGAGAAATCTGGTTGATCTTATTTTGTTTGCGGAAAAGCTTTTTTCCTTCTTTATTTAATTCAGAAAGTCATGAGAAATCTGGCTGATCTTACTTTGTTCGTGGAAAAGCTTTTTTCCTTCTTTATTTAAAAACAGTTTCCTTTTCCCTCTCTACAGCATTTTAATGTCAGTGTGTTTTGTTCAAAGGTCTGTGGACAAGAATGTCATAATCTATCAGACTGTAAGTATAGCATGATGCAAGGTCACTCTTGGGCTCTTGTCCTGAGATGAACTCTGGTCCTTAGTTAACTGTACATAGTGAGCATAACCAGGGGCATCACAAAAAGTTCAAGAGAATTTTAGTGTTAAATGCAATGTCTTTAAATCAGATTGTTTAAACATTCTTTCTATAGGAATGTTATTAAATCCTGACAGTTACAGAACTGTTATTTACCTTTGGTACATTATATAGTATAAAAAATAATAGTGATTTTGCTGAACAAATGCTAAGCTTCTCTGGCTTGCTCTGCACACACCTGTGGCACTGATGCAATTGTTAAGTGAAAGTGTTTCACCAAAATCACTGAGTTGATACCTGCATAGGTTTTGGCCCAGTTATTTTAGTAGTGTGAAGGTATGTGAGAAGTCCTCTAGAGTTCTGGAGCCCCAGGAAATTGAAAGATGCAGAAAACTACAGCAGAAGTTTGTCAGCTCTTGTGGCCTTAGGTTTTTATCCAATGGGACAATAACTTTTCTAGCTGTGGCTCCTCCTCTGGAGATACACAAAGCCACCCACAGGTGATCCCCAGAGGTCCCTGACCATGCCAACCACTCTGTGATCCTGTGGGGGGAGAGACTTCAGCCTAAAATAGGGCACAGGGACCATGTTAGACCAGTTAGTGATTCAGAAGAACTTGCTCATCACTCTCTGTACCTGTCACAGAAATAGTATTTATAGTAAGAGGGAAATTCTTTCAATCTAAGTTAGAACTGCTGAAATGGTAAGAGGGAAATTTTCAATCTAAGTTAGAACTGCTGAAATTCAGGTGTTTGTTTGTTTGGGTTTTTTTTTTTAGCAGCATCTAGTGGCCAAGTAGGAGACTTGCTGGTGTGGTAACTTACTGGTCCAGTTGAAGGGTTGTAGCCTCACTCTCTTCCCTTTGGGGCATTTCTAATACCAGGTCTGTAGAAGAAATCTGTGTGTGCCAGGAGCCCCCAAGGGTGGCACCGAGTGAGGTGGTGTTCTGGCACTGGTGCCTGCCTGCTCCGTGCTGGTGGGGTGGGGTTAGCAGTGCCCCAGGGAACTAAAGGGGCTTCAACAGGAAGGTCGAGTCGCTGATCAGCTTGGCAGGGTTGGGTAACTGCTCTGAAGGTGACTGCAATTGCCTTTCAAGAAGCAGTGCTCCTTACTTACAGAGATGAGAACACTGGTTGCATTCTTTCAGACTTAAGATCACAAATACTCTTTTGCAGAGTACTGGCAATACCCTTCATACTTTGTCTCAGCATACCAGGTAAGAACTCAGTGTGATTATTCTGTTTCACTTCTAGTAAGTAAGTTAAATCCTTGTGAGTTCTCATTTTTATTTTTATTTGTAGGTATGTTACAACTTGTGCCTTTGCACCATGTAGTCCTTTACTCGCCACGGGCTCGATGGATAACACTGTGATGATCTGGCAGTTCGACCCTGAGCAGCCCTGTGCAGGTTAGTGTGTGCAGGTCAGCCCTTCTTTAAACAACAAAAGTATTGCTGAACACCTTCTGGAGGTACAAACCCCACGTGTTCCTCCCTGCAGCTCATGTGTGAGCTCAGCACGATGTGCCAGTCTTACCTGTTCTCTGAGTTGACCTGGTGAATGTCCTGCAGAGATGTTCCCATTCTGTTCTGAAGAAAGTATGTACTAGATAGATCTTAATTTTATTACTCTGCTGTGTATTCTTTTCTGGTGTCCATTGCTTACTCTCTGGACAGCATGTAAGAGATGAGTATGACTGCCAGAGTGCTGAAAGACTCTTTTGGCCAAGTATCACTGGTGAGGAGTTAGGCAGAAACTATGCCATTTGCAAGCATAACTGTCACCAAGAAATACAGCGTGACAGGAGAAAAACCAGGTTAATTAATCAATTGTCACCAAGAAATACAGCATGACAGGAGAAAAACCAGGTTAATTAATGTTACAATGAGGTGCATCAGCACCTCAAACGTATGGGACAAAACTAAGTATGTCTTTGCTCAAAGCACAGCAGTAAGTCTGGGCTTTGGTCTGCTTGCTCAGGAGGTGTGAGACAGTCCCAGCGTCTGCTGATGCTTCTGCAGTTCACATCTGGCAGAAGTGTAGGCACCTGAGAGATTAAATTCCTCTGCTCTTTGGCCACTGGGAGATAAAAGACAAACCCCAATTGTTGCACTCCCCCCCATAATCTCTAATAAGCATTTCTTTATTAGCTGGGGAGTGTATAGCACTGAGAAGGCTTAAAACCAGGGGCACTGCTGGCACTGGGGGTCAGTGCTGTTGTTTTGGGCGTTGTGCTGAGTTTGTGGGTCGTTGGGGTTTGCTATTATTTTGTATTTGTTGTTTTAACTGTTTCATTCCCCCAGGAAATGCTGTGGACAGTGATGCTGAGGGGGCTGTGGAGTACTGGTCAGAGGAGGAGGTTTCAGCCTGGCTCTGTGCACAGGACTTAGCAGACATGGTTGAGCTTTTCAAAAAGAACAACATTGATGGCAAGATGCTCTTGAATCTCACTAAGGACAGTCTGGCTCATGAATTAAAAATTGGTAAGAGTATGGAAATCCAAATAGTTTTAATCTTTAGAGGACTCTGAATTGTTGGAATGCAAGCAAGTTAGGAGTTTGTCCCTGAAATGCCTTTTAATTTCATTACCAGGACTAAACCCCCTAATGTCACATTGTCTGCAAACTCTTGTGTGTTAGCTTATACCTGGAGTGCATAAAATGCACTTCCACCACTCACACCATTAAGTCTTAACCTGTTTTTGCTTCTCTTGTCCTTTTTTGATCTTGTATTATTAAGCTGTGGAAAGAGAATGTCAGCTCTTCTGTAGAGTTCATGTTTCCCCCTTTGGTAACTAGTATGCCCTGTGTTTTCCCTGTCAGGCTGCACAGTGCTGGTTTTGGGGTGGTGAGATGGAGCTGTGTCCCCTTCTACCTGTCTGTGCTGTCCTCTCATGTACAAATAATCTCTCAGAGTCCTTAGGTCTGCGCAGTAAAGTCCTCCAGAAGATTGAGGAACTGAGGATGACAAGAACCTCAGCTTCTGCTGCTGTCCCTGATGAGTTCCTGTGCCCTATCACACGGGAGCTGATGAAGGATCCTGTCATTGCAGCAGGTATGTCTTTAATGGCATGTGTGGGGACACAAAAATGGCCTATTTTAGCATCAGTCTTAGAGAAACTATTTTAAATAGCTGCTGCAACAGAACAGAATTGTGACAAGTGTTTAATTTGACAAATTCCACCTCTGATGCATAGCCCTGGGTTAGAGGAGGGGCACAGGACACAGGTTTGTGTTCCATCGGTGACTGTACTCTACCCTGGGCTAAGGAACACTTGGCCAAATTTCTGTCTTTAAGTAACAGCTTATTTAGATACCAACTGTAAGAGCCAAAGTCCTGCAACTGGGCAGGGGGTGAGGGCTCAGTGTGGGCCAGGTCAGGGCTGGGTCAGCCATAGGGGCACCCAGAGTGGCAGAGCTCTCAGCTGGGTTAGCCACTTGATCTTAGCGAGCTGTTCTATCACATTATGGATCATTCAAACTGAAGTCTTGTTTAACATTTGCATACCATATTTTGGTGCTTTGCAGTCAGAGGTGGAAACATGAAACTAGCCTGAAGGGGTTATATTTGCAGATCATGTACTCTAAACCTCAATTTTCCTGTCTGGACACCTCCCCTCCCTCCCACATTTGAACAGCTCAGATCTGTAGTCTGTGCCCAAGCCTCCGGGGTGAGCTGTTCCCATGGTTTCTTTGTAGATGGCTATTCCTATGAAAGGGAAGCAATGGAGAAGTGGATCAGCAGTCAAAGACGATCCAGTCCCATGACAAATCTCCCTCTCCACTCCCTTATGCTCACACCCAACAGGATGCTGAAAATGGCCATCGAGCGCTGGCTACAGTCTCAGCAGAAATAGTTAAACCTCTCTGTTACAATGAATACAAATGGACTTAGCTAAAGGAACTAAGTGTATCAGAAACAACTCCAAAGGGAAAACTCTTTCTGTTCTAATCTGGTGAGTTTCAAAGAAAAACTTCAGTTTACATTTTGGCGATTTTACTTTGTGGTGTTTCTGTTCAAGAAATGAAGTATTCAGACTCTCAGTTTTTCAAATAAAGTTTTCTTACCATTTTCACTACATTTATGACTTTTGAGTCCTCATCTTGCCAGGTAAGTCCTTCAGAAGGTAAGGAATGGCAGAGTATAGGATGTGTCTTTCTTGTTCTAATTTAACAAACAAAATGTTTCTTTCTCTGCTCCCTATTACTGCACAAGTAGTTGGAAAAGCTGGGAGAGTGTTTTTCCTGTCACCATCAGGGACTGCATCCCATCCCACAGGTATATTAATAATCTTTATTTTGTATGGAAAAAATACAGTAGCTGTGCAAAAATAGAACTACAGGACAAGACTAATATAGGGACTTGTACAAAATATCCAAGAAACAGTAAACAATAAATAAGCTAAAGCATAACGCTGCAAACTCCAAACTCCAGGGGGACTTTAGAGGTGGGTACAGCTGTTCCCAGTGTACAGAGAACGCTGTAGTCAAGCACTGTGGCAGAGTGTAAAGCTGAGCACCCCAGGGAATTGCACTCAGAGGAATGTCACTGTCCCTTCTCAGAACGTTCTGGGCAATACAGACCTCAGTTCCTCCAGACACTCAGCTCTGTCCTGTCCTGCCACCACACAACACCTTTCCTCAGACCTTCTTGTTTCCCATACAACACTGAGCAGTTACCTGCTGTACCTTTTCACAAATAAACATAAATCATTCTGCTTGAAGATAGCACCCAAAGGTGATTAGATAAACTATATAAAGTGCGATTACTGTTAATAGGCCTTAATAGTGTGTTCTTCAGTGCAATAACCAATATGGTCAGAGCCTCTCAATACACATGCAAATGTCACTCTTTACTTAGTTTCTCCTAGTTACTAAAAATAGCTGTATTTACATGTCAGAACGTGGCTGCTCGGGGTTTACCAGACACAGATTACTTATGCTTCCTACATGTACATCATGCAACCCAAATTAGCTCCCACTAGAAAGTGATAAAATCCTACCTTTGATTTAAAAAGGCATGCACATACAGATCTGAGTGTTCTGCAGCACACTGGCTTCCTTACCACTGCTGGGAGAAGTAAGCACTTCACACTCGAGAGGCACAAGTATTCTGTGAGATACAACAGAACTGAAAGCCAAGGTTGAAGCTCTATGTGAAAGCAAACTCTTACTTAATGGTAAAATGGACTGGAAGGGATTTCTCTGCGGGACTGACAACCCTAATGGACTCCTCCTACACAGATTGGTATTCCAGTTTGTGTCGCTGTGCTGTGATGGCAGAACAGTTTGAGTGGTTGTATCCCATTGAGGACTGGCCAGCACAGAGTGCTCCCTGGGAGCCAGGCGTGCCCAGCCACCCCCGTGTGCTGCGAGCGAACGCACGGATGGTATCTACACGTTGGACTCAATGAAGGATCGCTTTGGTTTCGCCGCGGGGCCGTGGCCGAGGTGACTGTCCTTGCTGCTGAGGGACGGGGGTTTGGCTGCAGCCTCTGGCTGAGGGCCCTGGGGCGGTGACCAGCCGTCCTGGCAGTGGGCAGGGATTTGGCACTTGGGCTCCTCGCGGTCCTTCGCCTGCACACTGCTCTGGTGGCCGTCGCCCGGGGCAGCACCTGTCGAGGGGGGTTTGGTTTGGTAGTGTTTGACCGAGAACTGCTCGAGGGGTGAGGGCTGCACTCCCCCAGCAGCAGCGTGTGCGGGTAGTCCATCTGACGCCTGAGGGTGCCAAGTGCGACCGGCCTGCGCGTTCTGCTGCTGAGACCTCGCGGTCTTGTCCATGATGCCCATGAAGGGCGTGTTGCGCGGTCGGTGCTCGGCGCCCTGAGCCTGGCTGGCACCGCTCTCC